GGTGTGTGGTCGTCCACTGTCCTGTAAGAATCACACATGTGAGCGTGTGTGTCATGCAGGTGTGTGTGGAGAATGTCCTTGTGCTGGAAATCGCTCCTGTTCTTGTGGCAAGACAAGTACGTTCACACACAAAGACACACAAACACACACACACACCTAGGTTCCTAACTGATAATGAAGAATTGACAGAGCAGCCATCCAGTGTTAGACCGTGTTCTTGGTTATTACATTCGGAGGTTTTTGGTCCAATAATTAGAATGTAACAGTAAGAAATTACTCGTCATCCAGTTTTTTATATCGACTATGCATTCCGTTAGTTTTTCAAATTGGTATGTTTCGCCGGGCTGTGAAGAAATATAGAGCTGAGTATCATCAGCATAACAGTGAAAGCTAACACTGATGATATCTCCCAAGGGTAACATGTAAAGCCTGAAAAGTAACGGCCCTAGTACTGAGCCTTGAGGTACTGCATACTGCACTTGTGATCAATATGATACCTCTTCATTCACTGCTACGAATTGATGACGGTCAGATAAGTACGATTTGAACCATGCTAATGCACTTCCATTAATGCCAACAAAGTTTTCTAGTCTATTCAAAAGAATGTTGTGGTCAATAGTGTCGAACGCAGTGCTAAGATCCAGTAGCACTAATAGAGAGATACAACCATGATCAGATGATAAGAGCAGGTCACTTGTAACTTTAGTGAGAGCAGTCTCAGTACTATGATACAGTCTAAATCCTGACTGGAAATACTCACAGATACCAATTTTTTCATTTTTTATTAAGTCAAGTCAAATCACCTTTATTTATATAGCAATTTTAACAATACAGATTGTGTCAAAGCAGATTTACAGTGTTAAATAGGAAAATAGTGTGTCAATAATGCAAAAGGACAATAGTAAACATTACATTTTCAGTTTAAGGCAGTTCATCATTGAATTCAGTGATGTCATCATCCAGCTCCGTTTAGTTTAAATAGTATCTGTGCAATCAATTAATACATTAATACATCATGTACTGATTTTATGCACAAGTTTTAGATAATAGAATCAAGCTGTCATATAACATCATATTTATTACATTTAAAATGATTAAAATGATTTTATAAAAGACATCTGCGTTTTTAGTTTATGATTTGATTGAACTGAAATCGGAATTAGTATATAAGTGCGCAGGATTGGTGCCTCATACAAACTATTCGGCACTTGAACATGTTGATGCAGATGTTATTTAATGTTCGGGAAGAAACTGGACTGTGGTTTACACACCTGCTCAATGCGTTGCCACAGAGGAGCCTGTGAGACCTGCCGACAGGTACATACACACACACGCCAGACAGCTGTTACATACACATACACACCAGACAGCTGTTACACACACACACACACAAACACACCAAGACTGCTGTTACATACACACACACACACACACACACACACACGCCAGACAGCTGTTACATACACATACACACCAGACAGCTGTTACACACACACACACACACACACACGCCAGACAGCTGTTACATACACATACACACCAGACTGCTGTTACACACACAAACACAACAGACAACACACAGCTGTTACATACACACACACACACACACACACACACACACACACCAAGACAGCTGTTACATACACACACACACACAAACACAACAGACAGCTGTTACATACACACACACACACCAAGAGAGCTGTTACATACACACACACACACACACACACACCAAGACGGCTGTTACATACACGCACACACACACACACCAAGACAGCCGTTACATACACACACACAAACACAAACACAACAGACAGCTGTTACATACACACACACCAAGACAGCTGTTACATACACACACACACACACACACAGATACACACCAGACAGCTGTTACACACACACACACACACAGGTTTGTTTTTGTGAAAAGGGGGGACTCTCCATAGGCGTAATGGTTTTTATACTGTACAGACCATATATTCTATTGCCCTACACCAACCCTACCCCTAAACCTACCCCTCACAGGAGACTTTGTGCTATTTCAGATTTTCAATACACTCCATTCTGTGTGATTTATAAGTGTTTTGAAAAGTGGGGACATGGGGTAATGTCCTGAAAAGTCACCTTCTCCTTGTAATACCTGTCATACCTTTGTCATTATACAAATTTATGTCCTCATTTGTCACAAAAACGCGCACACACACACCTGACAGCTGTTACACACACACACATCAGAGAGCTGTTACAGACACACACACACACACACACCAGAGAGCTGTTACAGACACACATACACACACATCAGAGAGCTGTTACAGACACACACACACACACACCAGACAGCTGTTACATACACAAACGCACCAGACAGCTGTTTTACACACACACACACACACACAAACACACACACATACCAGACAGCTGTTACACACACGCACGCACGCACACAAACACACCAGACAGCTGTTACACACACACACACACACACACACAC